AAATTAAATATTTAGTTAACAAGCTAAATATTTAACTTGTGACTTAAATATTTAGTTTTGAGATAAAATTTTAGGCTTGCAAGTTAAATGTTTAGCTAGCCACCTAAATATTTAACTTAAATATTTAACTTAAATATTTAGGTTGGAACTTAAATATTTAGCTAACTACCTAAATATTTAACTTAAATATTTAGCTATCAAGTTAAATATTTAGCTAGCCACCTAAACATTTAAGTTGCTAGCTAAAAATTTAAGTTGTTATCTAAATATTTAAGTTTCTACCTAAATATTTAGGTGGCTAGCTAAATATTTTACTTGCTAGCTAAATATTTAAGTTGCAACCTAAATAATTTAGGTAGCTAGCTAAATATTTAAATTTCTAGCTAAATATTCAAGTTGCAACCTAAATATTTAGGTATCTAGCTAAATCTTTAATTTGCTAGCTAAATATTTAAATTGCAACCTAAATATTTAAGTTGCTAGCTAAATATTTTACTTGCTAGCTAAATATTTAACTTTCTAGCTAAATATTTAAGTTGCAACCTAAATATTTAGGTAGCTAGCTAAATATTTAAGTTAAATATTTAGGTGGCTAGCTAAATATTTAAGTTGCAACCTAAATATTTAGGTAGCTAGCTAAATATTTAAGTTGGAAGCTAAACATTTAGCTCAAAACAAAATATTTAAGTCACAAGTTAAATATTTAGCTTGTTAAAGGCACAGTGTGTAGGATTTGTTGTTTTCTGCGACATCTAGTGGTTGAATCATCCTCCCTGGTTCCCCCCCCCCCCTTCCAAACGCAAAGGAGTTGCTACGGTGTCTCTCAGGTGTCAAAAACCTTTGATAATTCAAACCGCGATGTCAACCAGCAGCTTCAGGGCTAGTGATGTTTCAAGTGGTAAGATTATGAGCTTTAATAAGTAAAATTATCCCAGCTACAATGACAGACAACAAATATTACATTTATAGTATTACAACTAAAACCGATTTTGACGCCACCACCGCAGTTTGTCCTTCATGAGCCTTCGTAGACAAGATGGCGGTGCAAGATGGCGGCTGCCTGTAGTGGCAACTACAGGCAGCCATGGAGAGAGATATAAACAGCTTTTTATAAAGGTAAAAATAATAAAACAAGGTCTTTGTCTGCAATGATTAGACATGTTTTTTTTATTATTGTCATTAGTGACTATCTCAATTTTGGCTAAAAGGATTGACAAAATCCTACACACTGTGCCTGTAACTAAATATTTAATTTGTAAGTTAAATATTTAGTTTATAAACTATGACATTTATAAATGTATGAATCATATGGTGAAAAACTGACTTTGAAAAATAAATCTGTTCTTTTTTTTCTTATAAAAGGTTAAATAAAACAAAAATATTGGTGGTAATTTTTGACTGTGTAACTTTACAAATGGCAGCCCATAAATTAATTCCCCTAACAGCCCTTGGGTAAGACTCATCGGTCCTTGAAGGAATTCGGACCCTTGAGACAGAGAGCTGGTACTGAGGTGCTTCTGATTTAGTAAGGTGTTGCCTTTGGACAAGACAAGTTGTAATGAAACTGAATCACTTTTCAAGACAAACCAAGCATAGTTTCAAAGAACTGTAAAGAGACCAGCGTACTTATCATTGTTTAAATTCAACACACAACTTAGTGAATCTACCTTAACGATACTCAAGTTTAGCAATCCATCCATTTTCCGTACAAGCTTATTTCTATTACTTTTTAAAACTGTGACACAATGAAAATTTGATATTTTATTGCACAAGAGTACATTCACTTTGCATGCTTGGATTATTTTTGTATAAAAGTATTAAATAAAGAGTTTACTGGTCAAAAATGCTCATAAATCTGATTTATTTTTTTCTGGAAAACTCTACACATCTTCTACACATATCACAAATCAACATAAACATGAAATAAAAAGTTTATTTTACATTTTATAGGCTAACATTAACCTATACAAAATGACTGATGTTTTACTCTTGAGTGTTTATCTCAGATTAGCTCAGGTCATTAACAGACATTCAAACCAGAAAACTGTTCAACAGAGTGGATTTAAAGCCATGGTAGGCTGCAATGGAACTACTGGTTTCAGTCATATACGTATGTAGGACAGAAGCTGACCTTTGACTGCAGGACTTCACTTTTTAACTTTCTTCTCCTTCATGAGCTTCTTGCTCTCCTCTCTTCTACGCTTGTTGACTGGGTTGCGCGGGTCATAGATCTCAAACGTGTCTTCATCCTGCATGTTGGCGTCCTTGACTTTTCTGGTTTGCTCATCGAACTGCAGAACATGGGCCATCCTAAATCAGAAAGAAAGTGGTGGAGTGAGTTCAAAGAACTGCAGCAAAGGACCCACTTCATCATCTATATGAAGAACATACAACCCATGGCAAAATATATGGAATTGGTGGGTGTTCTTTCAATTGTTTCATTTTAAATCAGACATGGCACAAAACTATAGTTCTTTTTACTTTCAACCTTCTGGCATCAGAAAAAAAATAAAATAAAAAAAGAAAGAAGTGTGACAGATGCTGCCATTCACAGTTACTATTTTAGATAAAGTGGTGGAAGAAAATGAATTTCTTAAATGTATGGAAACAAATGGAGTGGTGAGAGAAATGCTGCATCATCAGTTCTTTGTTGGATCCAACTAAAAACAGTGATGGTAAAGCAATGTACTAAAAGTTCACACAACGCTGAATGGGGTGCCCTTTGTAAAGTACACAGTCAAAAATTACCACCAATATAGTTTTATAATAGTTTTATTTAATTTTATTTAATAATAGTTAACAATAGTTTTATTTAGCCTTTTATAAGAAAAAAAGAACAGATTTATTTTTCAAAGTCAGTTTTTCACCATATGATTCATACATTTATAA